TCTGTCATGTCATTTGGGGCAGGGCCTAGGCCCTCCCCCACTTATCTAGGCTAAGTATCCCTCCATGGGAAATGGGCCCCCCAAAGTCTGTTTGTACAGTTAGGGATACATTCTGGTTCCACTGCCAGAGGCCTAGTGTTCCTAGTTGACACCCACTAGCTGACACCCACGGTTAGGGGGCCTGCTTTGGTCCTATGTTGGTTCCCCAGCTGTTAGCCTGGGGTCCATGAGCTCCCACTTGGTCTGGTCACCTGTTTCTGCGGGTTTTCCCAACATGGTCTTGACCCCTTTGTTTGTCACTCCTCCCTCTCTGAAACTGGATTCCAGGAGTTTGGCTCAGTTCTTAGCTGTGGATCTCTGCTTCTGCTTCCATCAGTTACTGGATGAAGGTTCTAGAATGGCATTTAAGGTTGTTATCAATCTTATTATAGGGGAAGGCCACTTAAGGTAGCTTCTCTACTATTGCTTAGGGTTCTAGTTGGGGTCATTCCTGTGGATCTCTGTACAATTCCCTAGTGCCTGATTTCTCTTTAAACCTACAGTGGCTCCCTCTATTGCTGTCTCTTTTCTTGCAGCTCTCCTCTATTCCTCTCCCCACTCAATCTTCCTGATCCCTCATGTTCTCCTCTTCCTTCTCCTCCCCCCTTCCCCCGTGCTGTCTATGGGAGGGTCGACGGGCAAGTCAGGAATGGTGGCTGATGATGCTGGCTGCTTTGTTCTGCCTTCAGGTCGCTCTCTTGATCAGATTTTATCCCATTATTGTGCCATAGATAGGAAATCTTGACTAGTAATTTTTTAAAGTTATTAAGGGTCTGCAATTGATCTCTACTAATTTGTACCTTTGGGGGTTTAATTTTTTGTAAGCCTATTTTATAGCCTAAATAATGAATCGAATCCTCACTTTGTATTTTTTCAGGAGCAATTTTTAAACTCCATCAGGGCAAAACTTTCTTCAAAAATTCTTAAGTTATCTATATTTGAATTATGTCATCCATGTAATGGTATAGTATAAATTGAGGAAATTGATTATGTATTATTTCCAGTGGCTGCCATATGAAATACTGGCACAGGGTTGGGCACATTCCCTATGGGAGAACCTTCCATTGAAGGCTAAGATTATTATAAGTAGGCACTGTGAGTGCAAAGTTCTGTCTTTTCTCATGATGGTATACTAAAGAAATCTTTTAAATCAGTAGCTATGAGAAGTCATCCTTTAGGCAATAGAGAAAGCAAAGGAATTCCAGACTGTAAAGAACCCATTGGCTGTGTCACCTTATTATCAGCTCTTAAATCTGTTACCATTCTCCATTTTCCAGATTTCTTTTTAGTAACAAATACAAGAGAATGCCACGGGCTAGTTGATTCCTCAGTATGCTGAGCATTTAGTTGTTCCTGCACTGGTTCTTCTAAAACCTGCAGTTTCTCTGTTGTTAAGGCCATTGTGCAACCTCTACAGGTTTGTCTATCAGTCCTTTTAACAGTAGGGCTGTTGGTGTCTTGGAAGATTAGCAGTTGTTGTGTCCTGTTCTTGTACAACCTGATTCTTCTTTATAATGCCTTCTTATAAGTTTTCCTGAACCTTATGTTAACTTATGGTTTGTTTCTGAGATTTGGGGAATGTTTATCTGCGTTTTCTATTGCTGTAACAAATCATCCCCCCACAAATTCATTGCAATGTTAGCAACATATGGCTTTAATATTCCTCTCTATTCTTCTGGCCTTATACATTTGAGCCATCCACTCTCTGTTTTACCTGAAATAAATTTCCAGTTCCTAAAATGGTCAATTTGGTTGCCAAGTCTTGTGATATAAATGTTATGTCCACACCTCTGTCTACTAGACCTTCAATGATAACATAATTTATTCATACTTTTAATTTTGGTCTCTGCTTATTTATAGAAGTTTGCCAATATACTCGCTTTGTGATTTTTTCCTGACTTAATTTGTTCTCTGTTTTTAGCTCTATCATCTAGCACAGTATGATTTCTTACAGTAGCTATTAGGCTCTTTAATTGTTCTGGGAAGGAGTTTCCATGGTGACAAGAAAGGATTGAGTTGGGCCTGGTAAAGGGATCTGCCAGAGACCACTCAGAGAGTTTCCCAATGGCAAAAGATTGCCTTGATAATCTCTTGTTCACCTACATTGTTTTGTCCAGTGCCTGCCTTTGCCACACCTTCTGTTTAATCCAGCAGGGAAGATTTTCTGTTTGGATTATGTTCATAAAAAGTATTGTTTCTGTTTACAATCTCTTTGAAAGTGACCTTGTTTGACAATTTAAAACATTTGACATTTCAGTTTAAGCTGGGCGGTGGTGGCTCAGCACTCGGGAGGCAAAGGCAGGAGGATCTCTGTGAGTTTGAGACCACCTGGTCTATAGAGCGAGTTCTAGGACAGCCTCTAAAGCTACAGAGAAACCCTGTCTTGAAAAACAAAAAAAACAAAGAAAAAACAACAAATTTTTTTTTTCTTTAAAGCTCCTGAAATCATCTCTGCTCTGTATTTATCATGCTCATCAGCTTCACTATTAATGTATCTCGGATCCAAACCTCCAAAGGTGCTGTCATGTCAAAGGCCTAATTATCCTTTTGCATTGAGAACTAGCATTTTCAAAAGCCATAGGTTCGATTATTATTTTTCTAGCTTCTGTGTCTGATACTGAGGTCAGTCTTTGTAAGATATCTATGAAGGCTTCATTTGGGCCCTGTATATCTTTTGTAAATGACTCAGTTTTCTTTCCTACTTCTCCAATTCTGTCCCAAGCATTCAAAGCTGCTGCATGGCATAAACCCAAGAGTAATCATCATGTAGACATTGCCTTTCTAAAGTAGCATGATATACTTCCCCCAAGATTTGATTTAGGGAGATACCCATACTTCTTGCTTTAGCATTTTGTTCCATAGTCTTAGCCTCTTCTCTGAACCTGGAAGCCCATTGTAGTCCAGGCTCCAAAACATCTTTAGTCAAGTCTATTGAGTAGATAGGGATAACGCTATTACAAACTGACCACTTGTTTACCATCTGCTTCACCAATGGTGAATACATGCCATCTGAGACTGCACTTCCTTGAATTTCCCTAAATCTAACATTGTCACAGGCTTCCAAGTAGCTCTTATAGAACCTCTATCATTTAGTACTTCCTGTAAGGTTACTGGCTATATTAAGGTTGGTTCTTTTAAGACCTTAGTTTTCCCTTTAACCTCAAAATGCAATGTTGAATTTGATTCTCCATTAAATTCCTTTGTCTGCTTTAATAAGTTTCTAAGGCCTGCTTCTTGATACTCATATGAACCAGCTTTTTTACAGATAAACCAAGAATTATCAAACCAACAAGAAAGGTTATCAAAATCCCAGTTAAGTTGATTATCCCTTCATTTAATTTTTTCAGTTTTAAATCCTCCATTATGTAACCATACAGAGACTTAATTCTATCTATTGTAATTGTGTTTCTCATGTTTAATGTGGGAAAAACTATGGTTACCCTTCATATCGTATAAATCTTTTTTGCCTTTTACAAAAACTATCTTTTTAAAACTAATTTCATCCTTTTAAGAATTCCTAATAGACTTACCAAATCTGTCGACAATGTCAGTGAACTGTGTTGTTTAGCACATCTGATCCAAGAACTAGCATGAGGCTGTGAGCTGAGAGTAGCAGCCCTAGCAGAGGGGCTCTAGGAAAAGCCCGAAACCTGGGAAGGGTGGGGCAGGTTGTGGGCCTGGGCTGGTGGCCTCAAAGCTGTTTTTTTTTTTTTGTGAATTCATACCTTAATGTAGGGTACCAATTATGTAACACAAAAAAATAAAAGGCCCAGATATTGATCAGTTGGTAGAGCGTGAGACTCTTAATCTCAGGGTTGTGGGTTTGAGTCCCACATTGTGCAGGAGTGATATGGCTGGGCAGAGAAAGGAATATAAAGCAGGAGGGAGAGGAACTCAGAGTTATTGCCTCTGAGGAATCGTGGAGACAGTGTGACCATTTCACCTGGGTAGAGGTAAGACCTACTGGCTTGGCTGCTTTGCTTCTCTGATCCTCAGCTTGAAGCTTGAACCCCAATATCAGTCTCTGGGTTTTTATTGTTATTATTTGTATGTAATTGGCCCCCAATGTGGGGCACGAACCCCTGACCCTGAGATTAAGAGTCTTAATGCTCTACCGACTGACCAATCTTTATTTTTTGTGTTACAAGTAGTATTTGCTGTAACTATTTTAATATGCTCTTTAAATGTTTCTATATAAAATTGTTTCACAGCAAAGCACTGGCAGTTGAAACAGCACATTGAGATCCATTACTTTCACAGCATCTCACCTACTATTTCTGAATCATTACTCTGCTATACAACTGTGGCTTCTGTGGTCATGTGTATAGGCTTGATCAGAATCAGATCATTATTTTTAAGTGTTTGAGAATTTTGGATATACATATAATTTGTTTGATCATATCCACTCCTCATTCCTTTCCCTCCATTTCCCCACAACCCTAAACCACTATGCCTCCCAGTGTCGTGTGTTCATTTTGTAAACACGAAGCCTGTTAGTGCAGGTCAGCCTTGAGAATAAGTCTCAAGAGTTTTTTTCAGCTGCAGTCCTCCACTGTGATGCCACAGATTTCATTTTCAACTTTTATTTGAATTATGAATGTATTACTTTGAATGTGTTATGTAGTTTAATAATTGTCCTCTTGTACCTGTTTTCTTTTTATAGGATGTTAAATTTCCTCTTATGTTGGATGTGTATGAACTCTGCACACCAGAACTTCAAGAGAAAATGGTCTCTTTTCGGTCAAAATTCAAGGATCTAGAAGATAAAAAAGTGAATCAGCAACCAAATGCAGTAGGTTTCTTTTTGCTGTATTTTTACTGCAGCCATTTCAATCCTCATTTAGTTCCTAGCAGTAGCAGTTACTGTAATGAAAATGATCAGCCTGCGTTTCAGTTAGGAGGTGCATACATCTTGCATATTTTGATGCCAGGCTCCTTCTACCTGTAGATGAACTAATGTAGTGCAAGAAGGAAGTCTCTGCTGTGTAGGCCCTTGATCATCTTAGCCCTGGAGTCTACAGCATATATGCATTTAACATGATGTCTTCATTTTCCATGGGTAATGATTTTCCATGAGGTATTTTAATTCTCTTTATAATAGAATTGGATGAGTAGAATTACCATTTTAGTCTCATCCTCTGTGTTTCTGAGCCTTTGAAATTAATGAAAATGAACATAAATGAAATTTGTAGGCTCCCATTTGTAAAACATCAACTGTTTGAATTGATTCATCATTTATAATTAATTAGAAGTCATTCAGGTTGTGTATGTTAGTAGGTATGTTTTTACCACTGAATAGTATTTCCTTGTGTGGGTATTCTGTAGTTTAACTATTCCTCTATTAAAGGATATTTAATATTGTTTTCAGTTTTTGTCTATTATGAGTAAACCTGGTAAAAATGTTCATTTGCAGATATTAGTGTCAGCCAGAGTTTCATTTTCCTAGAATGAATGTCCAAAAGTATAATTGCTGTGTTGCATGGAGGTTGCATGCTCAGTTTTTCAAGAAAGTACCAAAAGCTTCTTTCTTTATATTCCTGACAGCAAAGCATGACTGGCCCTCTTTCTGATCAGTATTTGATGTTGTCACTAGTCTTCATTTGAGCTGATGGATAGGTTTGTCTTGTGTTTTCTTCTGCATTTCCCAAGTTTTAATGATGTTGACTACTTTTTATGCTTTGGTTGTTGTATGTATGTGTTCTGTTGAACTATGTTATTCTCTTGTAATTCTTAACTTTTCTCTAAGTCTGTAGTTTATCTTTTCATCTTCTTAATGCAGAGAAAAAGTTGAAAAGTGTTATAGTTTTTCTATTTTGATATTTGATTCATTCTAGTTTAACTTCTATGTGATAAGATTCATTCTTTTTGATATGACCCACTAGCATCTTAAGAAGAAAAAAAAAGTAAAAGTATTTGCCAATTGAATGATCCTGCCCTCTTTGTAGATAATGGGTTGACAATAGATAAGAATGTGTTTCTGGAGTCTTCAATTTTATTCCATTGGTTTGATTATCTGTTCTTTGGCCATAATACAGTGTTTGTTTTTGTTTTTGTTTTGCCATGGGGCTCAGGCTGGTCACAGATTTGCTAGATAGTTGAGGCTAGCCTTTAACTCCTAATCTTCCTGCTTCTAGACCTCCAAAGTGCTGGGATTACAGGCATTTGCCACAAAGTTACTAATGAATTTCCTGGATTTTGTGATCTCCCGCTTTGTTCTTTTTAATGCTTCTGCAAATGGTATTGCTTGCTTTGTTGAAACTTTGTATGTTTATTTTACATCCTGAAGTACTTTTTTGTTGTTTTTTGTTATTGTTCATACTGTATGGAATATTTTTGTAGTTGATGTAATTATGGAAATAACCAATGTCTGGATACTTCTTCAATTTTTCAAAGTTTTGACTCAGTTCCTTCAAACTTCAGGGTCAAGTCCAGGATTACTCAAGTGATGTACTTCATGTTATATTTGGTTTTGTTCTCACAGAATTGACTAATTTCATTTAGCAGGTCACATTTGTCTGTATAATTGATCATGGTGTTTTTATTAGCTCTTTCATGTCTATAGGGCAAACCTAGCCCATTTCTTTACTGATAATTGTAATTTGTCTCTTCTTGAAGGTTCTCAGTTTTATTGTCATTTCAAAGTCTGGCCCTGTTTTGTTGAGTTTCCTGTTTTCTGTTATTTTTATTTGAGGCCTATTTAATTTTTTCTTATTAGTAAGATGAGTTGAGGCAGTGAGTTCCCACTAAAATCTCTCGTCCATGTAGTTGATCATACTACTTCTAGTGTTGACCTTTGTTCATTTCAGCTAAAACGGAAGGGCATGGCTTTGATTGCAGAAACTTGACTCAGAAACTTGTTTTGTTTTTGAGGTAGCTCCTGCAGGTTCACGGACACAACATTAAATCCTTTGATATGTTAAAATTTTAGTTAGTGGCTTAACATTAGCAAAATATTCAGGGAGATTATGTACTGTGATAATATTGTGTATTATTAAAGAGTAGAGCCTTTGGCTTTGCGGTTTTTATGGTAAGTGTAGTTTATCATTAAAGTATTTTGCAAGGCACACTGTCATTTCAGTGATTTGTAGACTGTATAAATATTTATATAGTTAAATACTAGTAAGAATGTATTCATTTCCAATATCACAATTGAAAATTAAATCTTTTTTCCTCTTAGAATGACAAGAAGAGTAGTCCCCCAAAAGAGGTTAAGTATGAACCCTTTTCATTTGCTGATGGTAAGTGGATGTCTCATTTTTACTGTATACACATTTAAATCAGGTGGCATGTTCTGCCATTTATCTGTTTATTCAGATACCATGTTTTTTCTTTTAAAAACTTAAGATTTTGTTTTTGAGAAAGCCTCTCTCTGTAGTCCAGAATCACTTGGAATTCACCATGTAGCTAAGGGTGGTCCTCAAAGTTAGCTATTCACTTGTCTTAGCTTCCCAAGTATTAGCGTGGCATGAGCCTCCATTACCTGGCCTAAATTCAGGCTTCTTGAAAAGTAATTTTCCTTAATGTAACTTAAGTGGTGCATTTGGATATATAGTTATGGGTAATAAACTTAATTGTAGCTCTGCACAGCAATATTTATGGAGTCTAGTAGAACAGTATTTCTCCAATCCTAACTTGATGATTGTTACTCTGAGAGAGCACTTGTATGTTTGTTGCCTGTTTTAAATTCATTTCCCTTCTCTTTAAGATATTGGCTCCAATAATTGTGGATACTATGACTTACAAGCAGTGCTAACTCACCAGGGAAGATCTAGTTCTTCAGGTCATTATGTATCATGGGTGAAAAGGAAACAAGGTAAAGAGTATTGTTATAGTTAACTACTACTTTATTATTGCAAACTTCATAGCATTGTGGGTGCTTTTGTCTATGAATTTCTTCATGCCTTTTAAAAATTAAAATGAAAAATAATTACCTATAGTTTGTGTGCCGGTTTGTTGGGTATTTGTGTATAGGCCAGAGGTCTATGTTGGGTGTCTTCTTTACCACTATCTGGACAGTTTCTCATTGAGCTAGAGCTAGATTCAGCTAGACTCAGCACTAGGGCTATAGAGAGGAGCTGCTATGCACAGCTCTTGCCTGGGGATCAAAACTCAGGCTCTAGTCTGCGTGTCATGTTCTTCAGAGTAAATCCCTTCCTTCTCTGTGTTCTCAAGCCCCCCTACCCCAGGCTTTACATATCTTTTATTTTCAAATTTATAACACCAGAAGATGTAGCTGAGAATGTTAGCTTAAAAACTATTGCCCAAGCAAAAATATCACAAGTATTTGGATTTACATTTACATTTTGTTTTCCTCTTGTCCAGATTGATATGGCTAGATTCTTGTTTTGATATTGGCATCAAACAACAAAGATACCTTGCATATGCTGAGCAAGTGCTCTGCTACAAGCTACAACCCTAGTCCCTTTCTTAGTCTGTTTGTGCTCAGAGTTGCATTGGCACATATTATATAGCTTTTGGAGAACTGCAGAGTGCACTGCAGAGTGGAGGCAATGAGGGTAGAAAGACAGCATGCATTAGAAGTAGTGTTTAAATAGCTGGGATGTCATTGGAACTCGTGACATCATCTTGAACCTGTGTAGTTCCTAGGCTACACTTGGAGAGCTGTTGGTAGTCGGGTAGAGTACTGCTGCACATCAAGTTAGTTTCTTTTGTACTAGAACTCTGAAAATAATTGTTTCCTATCCTCTTAATTTAGATGAATGGATCAAGTTTGATGATGATAAGGTCAGCATTGTAACACCAGAAGATATCTTGCGGCTGTCTGGTGGTGGAGACTGGCACATTGCTTATGTTTTACTTTATGGGCCTCGAAGAGTTGAAATAATGGAAGAAGAAAGTGAACAGTAATCTTCAATTTAGCTATTTATGCAGAGGTGTGAAATAAATGTTTTTTTGTTGTTATTGTTGATCATTTTTATAATCTTGAGCTCTAAGGGGAACAAAGGAGAACAGAACCAGGCCACTTGTGCATCAGCCTAAAGAAAATTACGTTTGGGTGCTACCCTGTATAAAGGTAGATGGAAGACATTCTTTAAAAGCTTATTTCTTGCATTAATTCTTACAAATTCCTAGCTGAAGTCCATTTATTCCCCTTGCCCTTCCAGCTCAAGATTTAGCAATGATGTTTATTGCACACCTACTTGTTGGTCTTGCATGGTTAACATCACCATTCAGTAGCTGCCCGTCCTTTACCTTATCTAACGAATATTTTTCTAGGAAGATGGAAAAGGAAGTGTTGCTCTCATCGTGTAACTCAGTGCTGCTGTCCACATCCCATCAACTGGGTACAATCAAGTATTTGTCCAGACTGACTGTTGCTGGCCTTTCATGACTTTACAATAAATTGTGATCAATAAGAATACATTTGATTATCCACTTATTATTGTGTCTCTGATATACTATACTTTGCATTGGTTTTGTAGTAATCATATGTCAACAAGCCCTGGTTGTTTATTTTTAGAAAATGAAGATATTTAATAATAAAAAAAGAAGGAAAAAGAGGGATTAACAAATTTTGACCTCCTGTCTTTAGTTTTAGAGGTTGGCTGACGAGTCCGATTAATCCAATACTATGCAATTTCTGCAGATTGCTGATAATCTTAAACTGTTAAGCATCCATTTAAAACACAGTGTTTCTTCTTAGCTTGAGTAATGTTATTTCAAAAGAAATACAAAGTTGTAACAGTGAATTCTGTGATCAGTTTTATTCCCTTACTCATTATTTCTGTTTTCTTTCCCAATGTCTGTATGTCCATCTCTAAATTTAGTATTTGTGGTTTTTAAAATTAAGGTATATATTATCAAGAGTATTTGAGTAAGATTGTTCTAATCTATTCTGATTAGTCAGTTACCTTGATTGATTGCTAAGGAAAGGATGAAGGATTGGATATTACCCAATTGATATGATTTTAAAATGTGGTCTGTGATAGTCATTTTACTTGGGCCATTTTCCCACCTCACCTTCCTATACTCCAAACTAAGGTTTAGACAGTGCCTGTTTTGTAGTTCTTGAAGCACTAACCAACTGTGCAACAGCTGTTATAAAACTGTTTATTGTTTACCAAAACCACTGGACCTCTTATCAAATGCCGCTTGGTAACAAAATCTTATCACAGTTTAATAAAAAAGAAAGAAAAGAAAGCAAGCTAACTATTTGTCTCGGAGTCATTAGTTAGGCTTTCAGCAAGGTCACTTAATCCAGACTTGTTTAGTGCGCTGATCAGGTTATCTGTTGTTGCATGAGCTCCTTCTTGATCTTGCCAGGCAACAAGGAGCTGCTTGGCCCTCATCTTCACGTCTTCACTGTCACACTCAATCTGCCTAATTTCAGAGTCTTTAATTTCTAAGTACGGAGCCAAAATCTTCCATTGCTCACCAAGTTTGTTGGCAAATAACTCTATCTGTTCCCCTGTTACAGGTTTATCTCGCCGAACATCAGGGCCTAGAAGACAAGAGGATATAAATTATCTGAAAGACCTGCAAAGCTTAAAGAACAACAACAAAAAACTGGGTTACTAGTCACATTAAGCTTTACTTTAAAACTTAATTCTACATAGGTTACATACCTTCTTAGGAAAAAAAAAAATCACAATTCAGGCAATTATTTTTTATTTTTTGGTTTTTCGAGACAGGGTTTTTCTCTGTGTAGCTTTGGAGCCTATCCTGGCACTCGCTCTGAAGACCAGGCTGGCCTGGAACTCACAGAGATCCGCCTGCCTCTGCCTTCCGAGTACTGGGATTAAAGGCGTGCACCACCAACGCCCAGCTCAAAGCTATATTAATTAGGAAGATTTTCCCATAGAGATGTTCCTTCTAGCCCCAATTAAATTAGCAGAGTTCAAGGCTCTGCCTTAAAACACCCATCTTTTTTATCTTTAAAATTATTTCCAAATTTCCCTATATAAAATGTATTTTAAGTGACTAATGGCTTTAATCTCACTGTAAACTGAGATAAAATGGTAGAAGTTGAGAAGTAGACCAAATTATACAATGTACCTCTCAACAAAGAACCCTAATCTTTTTCAGTTTTGTGAAATAGCCAAAAAATTCAATTTCAATTCAAAAATTCAATTCTTACTTTCATTTTCCTTCAGTAAAGCATCATTATCTTCCTCATCTTCATCTTCACCTGTTTTTATTTCTTCAGAAGGAGGCTATAGTAAATGAGAAACAATGGTGTTTAAAAAAACACTAGTTTCTGAAGATAACAGGAAATAGTTTAGATAGGTAATTAATGGACCTCAGACCCTCTCAACCTGTAGGTCCTGTCATTTTGGGCAGAAGGAAGACAGAGAAGCATGAACAAGCAGGTTGGTAAACACCTAGGCTTTAGTCAGTATTGTCTAAGGGGCAATAGAGATTAACCATGTCTATGGTTACCGTACTATAAGAAAACACTGCCAGGTACCCTACTGCTACTCCTAGACCCTGCTCTTGACAAAATATAGTAAAATACATTTGGTAAGAGCAAAAACTGATCCAATTTACTGCAGGCAGTAGCTTTTTCCAACATGTTGATAAATTGGGTGTTGCACAGAAAATTATACCACTCTTGGTTCACATTTTCTCCCTAAGTGAATGTTCAACAACAACCTCTGCCTCAAGTTGTGTGTGTCCTCCCCCGCCCCCACTACTACTGTTGTGTGATACACTAAAATTTGAGTTCTGCTCAAATACTGATAGCAGTTTTAAAGCAGATAATGTCTACTAAAGGAAATGGGAAAAATGAAGTATGTCACTTACTGGTAGTTCCTTGGCTAGCTTTATTACCATGTTCTCCAGGTACTCTGGCAGACTCTTAAATTGCTGGTTGGTTGGCTGGAAGAAGTGAGGGCTTCTTCGTGCTAAGAGCCTGAGAGCTCTCCACCCATAATTTGAATTGTTCACAGCTCTGTAAGAGGAGTTGTTAGCCTTGGATTTATAATTATCCACTTCCATAGTTGTTTCCATGTCACATGACATTTTGTACCATCCTTTAGTTTGAAAGTTTATATATTTTGCTTATTTTAGCAAGTCAGTGGTCTATGTCTCAACCCCTGGCTACATAGAAACTATTCATCCAGTTATACAGAAGAAAAGGAAAGATAGGAAAAATGATATTTGGTGAGTTGGTTGGTATCTGTATCTGCATTGCTACCTACAGATATGTGAGTTTAGAGTATTTCATAAATTCGAGTTTATCATGTTAATGTAACTAATACAAGTTGGAGATCTCTAACCTAAAACCTTAAGTGTTTAACTTTTCTTAAAATGCTTACCTGCTAGGGTCTAAAATGTTCCAAATATGGGGGGGAAAATCTGAAAACACAGCCGCAAGTATTTTCAATAAGGGACCTGTATTTAGAGTTGTGTTTATGTAACAGCTAATCTTTAGTTCACTTAATTTCAATGTCAATGATTAAAAATGGCTCAAAATGTCAAAAGAGCAAATATCCAGTACCCACAGTAGTGACACACTGATGTCAAGAAAAGAATCAGAAGGTGAGGAAAAAGAACCTATGAGAAATCCTAAGGACTCCCGCCCCCAATAAACGGATTCTATCTTGGGCTTTGTTATGTTCTTTGTATTTAGCACAGATCTGCAATCTGGTTTATTTGGTGGCCTCTTATTAACTCTGATATACACTCTTCATTTTAAGCACGAGATGAGACTTGTGCGTATTTTACTAATAGGATCTTACTCTATAAGCCACACTAACCTCAAACTTAATCCTCCTGCTTTAGCCTCCAGAGTGCTGGGATTATAAGTATGTGCTCCCATGTCCACTCTTTCTGTGTGTGTGCTACTACCTTGCCTGCCCTTTGTGTCTGTCTGTCTGTATGTATGTATTTATTATTAGGCAAGGTCTTACCATGTAGACTTGTGGCCTCAAACTCAGAATCCACGTGCCTCTGTGTCTGAGTGCTGGGATGAAAGGTGTGTATAACCATGCCCAACATAATTTCTTGTATACTTTAGACTTTTATTATGTATATGGGTGTTTTGCCTGCATGATTATCTGTGTATGCCAAAGGCGGCCAGAAGATGTCATTTCAGACTCTGGAAAGAACAGCCAGCACCCTTAATCTCTGATACATTTTTCTTCCCTGTATATATTCAAAAGATCACTCTCTGGTGCATGGAGAATAGAACACACTGGTTAAGAGGTTGGAGCATGTAAAAACGTATCATGGGGTCAAAACTAGTCATTTATATCATGTGTCAGCAACATGCTGTATATGGATCAAAACGAACCATTTAATCTTCAGAATAACTCTGTGAAATGAGTGGCTATTATTTAGCAAATGAGAAAAGGCACAAGGATGGGAACTTACACATTCTGACGAGAGCCCCTGCCTTTAAATCACAACTCCAAAACACCTACCTAAAAATACTGTCACATGAAACTCTTTAGATAAAAGATGGTGAGTCTTAAAAGTTACCCCAGAAATCTAGGGTGGAGGGGACAGCAAAGCAAAAGGCAAACAGTGTGAGTGGTTCCATAGCTGCCATGACAGGTCTGTTTCCTGGCAGATGCTGTTAAGAGCTCAAGAGAAGAGTCCTGTGAGAACTACTAAGAGAAGAGCTACTTCAATGGAACAACAGGGAACACAGCCTCAAGTGGATGGGCTGCCAAGAATGGGAGGTGGGTGAGGAAGGAAGGACAAAAACTAAACTGGCTGGCAGCAGAGACTGCTGTGAATAAACACTAGAGATTATGGAGGTAGGTGTGGGATGAGACTTCTTCAGTTTGAAGCAAGTCATGTTAGAGAGTCATAAGGCTGTAACAGTCATGTGAATGTGTGCATGAACTAAAAGCACTATTCTGCTAACTTACAGAGGACTCCTAAGGAAACATGTTGAAAATTAACATCATTTCCTTAAAGCATGACTTACTTATATTCACTTTCAACCATGTTTTCAGGGTCTGCTTGTTCAATGGCTTCTTCAAAGAACTCCTCCAAGGTTGGCATGTATTCTCTGGTCATTAAAGAAGACAGTGAGGTTCATCTGTAATACTCTAAAATGGTGGCAATATGAACTTTAACAGTATCCATATGTGTTAATTACAGCTAGGACCAGGATGTAGGGCCTCTTTAAGGAGATAACGACTCAAAGCTAAATTCTAAAATGGAGCAATAAACAAGGTATAGGTCTGAAAACTATTCACTCCATACATTATGATAGACTACTTATTCTATTCATTGACACAAATATGCTGCCATATGAGGGTGAGCAAAAGTTGCACAGCATTTGAAATTCACCTATCTACTAGTATTATTTTTATTTATAGAACTAACTGAACCTAAACTAATAAGCCATGCCAGAATTCTTCTATGACCCTGCACTGGTCAAGTTCTCATTCTAAAATCTGTCAGAAGTT